TTGCGGATCAGTGCGCGTACGCGTTTGCGCGTTGTGAGTGGATGCATCGTACTTTGTGGGCCCCGGAAACGACAGGGCCGTTTTGCACCGTTTCCAAAAAAATGTCCCTTGAAAATGGAGACGGTAAAACAACTGCGACCGGAAACGGCTAAAAAACGGCTCCAGGATTGGAACCGGAGCCGGACCCGGTCACAAAACGGCGACGGAACGGGAAAAAAACGGCGTCGGAACCGTCCAAAAAAACGGCAGAACGGAACCGGTAACAAAAACGGCCTTGGCGTTTCCAGGGCCCACGAAGGCGCCGTGCCCCATGTGGCCACAGCCGCCGCGCGCGCGCAGCAGCGTGCGTCGCCCCCCCGCCTGCACACGGCCACGGCGTGCCCGCTCCGCGCGTTACGCCTCTCGTGGAGAGGCGTGGACCTTCGCCGCTTCAGCCGGGGAGCCTCATCGACCCAACGTGTCGCGTGCCCGACGCCTCCCGTCACTCAAGTTTAGACCCCTACGCTGCCACCGTAAGGGTATAAACTTTCCAGCCGCCCTGGGGCAGGTGTCCCCGACGGCGAAAAGGTTTATTTTCTACCGTTCTTCGCCCGTTCAGACACGCGCGTCCGCCGCCGACCCCCCACGCGTGGGCCCAGGCGTGGCCCTCAGCACGAGCGTCGGCCTCAGCGCCGGGAAGCCAGGGCTCTGCCGTTGTCGGCACCGCGGCGAGTCGCCCAAGCCGTCCCTCCTCCTCTTCCTCCTCCTCCTCCTCCTCCACCTCCTCCTCCTCCTCCTGGGTAAGGGGGACGCCCAGGGGCCCAGTGCGGTGCGGGCTCCCGTCGGTGCCACCCCCCGGACAAAGCCAACGGGGGAGAAGCCGCCGTAATTACATGTCGCGGAGCTCCGACCGGGAGGTCCCGGACACAGTTGTTGTTATGATCCGCGGGTCGGGAGCGCACCTCTTCCGGTCGAAGCTGAGCGGGCCGCGCACAGCTTTATAATTGACAGGGGGGGGAGGCAGAAGGAGGGGCCTCACGTCGAGGCCAAGAGAGGGCAGGAGGTCCCGGACACAGCAGGACGTGATGCAGCAGCGTGCAGTGACGGTTACGTCGATTCCGGTATGTCGGTCCCGTGCCTCCTGCGGATGCCGCCCAGCCGTTCGCAGGCGTGCCTGCGCTGCCGGCAGGTAGGCCGGGCACGGGGAGGTCTGTTTCAGCTGGCAGGCCGCCCAATCGCCGATCCCTCATCCACATCATCCGCCACTTCCTTCTCCCTTCCATCTCCGTCTCCTCCTCGTCCTCCTCCTCCTCCACCTCCTCCTCATCCTGAACGGCATCACGCACGCGTGGCCCCGCTGGCACGCACGCGTGGCCCCGCTGGCACGCACGCGCGGCCCCGCTGGCGCTATCTGTGCGCCCCCGAGTCGATCATGCGTGCGTCGCGCATCACAGGCGGCGTGGTGGTGGCAGCGCAGGTGGCCTCTTCCTTCGGGGGCGGGAAAGAGGGGGGTGACGACCAGGGGGGGTGGATATCATGGCGTGGGCCATGGTACTTCCCCAGATTTCATGGCGCCTCTTCTTATTTCATGACGTCCCTGGCCCCCCCCCTCGCTGGGCCGCGCACATGCCGCCGGTCGTGATTTGCACCCCCCCCCCCTCTTGGACACCCCCCTCTTGGCCGCTCCCGATCCTTGGGCGCTCAGGGAGCAGCGTTGCCCACGGCAGATTCTCAGCTGGTGCAGGTTTTTGTTTCCGTTGGCAGCCACGCCCGCGTACCGCTCGGAGTGCGATCTACCAGTCAGTCGGATCTCCCCTCATCCCTCCCCCAGTTCTTCCCTTTCGTTCGCCCTCCCTTTTCGCCCCTTCCTCCTCGTCCGTTCCTCCCTCTTCTCTTCTGTTGGAGAATTGAAGGGACGGCGGGGGATCACAGGTTGGGTGATGGTCCCATCGGCGGGCGAAATGAGGGTGACCAGAGGTGGGACAAGGTGTTCGCCAAGCAGGCCGTCATCGTTCCCAACGTCCATGGCTCCGACATTCTGTATTCACACCTGAAGCCCCCGGTTGCGACTTCATTCTCCCTCGTGGATCCGTCCTTCATCCTCGCCGCTTCTTTCCGTCCCGCTCTCATGGGACGAGGCTGGGACGAGGATGACTTCAGAGCGATCTAGGACGTTTTCTGAGGAGGCCACGTCGCCCGATACATCCTCCAGAGCCGCCGGATCTCAGAGGTTCACGATTTATCCGCATTCGAGTTTGTCCTGGTCTTGGCTTCGCCTCATATCACCAATATTTTCTCTCCTTCCTCCCATTCCCGCCTCCTCTCCCTTCCCACTTCTGCCCACCCCTTCCTGCCTGCTCCCTTCCTTCCTCGTCGCTCCTCCTCCTCCTCCTCCTCTTCCTCCTCCTCTCCCTCCTCCTCATCCTCCTCCTCATCCTCATCCTCCCCCCCCTCCTCCTCTCCTTCCTCCTCCTCCTCCTCCTCCTCCTCCTCCTCCTCCACCTCGTTCTTCCTCCTCCTCCTCCCTTCTCCCTCCTCTGGTTGCGACGCCCCGCGACTTCCTGCAGTACCGCCGCGTGCTCCTGCAGCAGGCCCAGGGCCCGCAAACGGGGTCGACGCCGCCACGGGGACCTCGCCGAGAGCAGCCTCCAGCAACGAGCTCTGCCCCCCCTGGCTGCTCCGCCCTCCTGCCCCCCCCCCTGCCACCCCAGAGATCCGACGCTCCAACAAACATTGTCAGGGAGGAGGGGGAGGAGGAGGAGGAGGAGGAGGAGGAGGGGGAGGAGGAGGAGGAGGAGGAGGAGGGGGAGGAGGAGGAGGAGGAGGAGGAGGAGGAGGACGGCGATCCGACCCCAGAGATCCGACGCTGGCCGGGCCTCGGGACCGTCAAGCAACGTGGGCGATAGTCGCCTCCCCCTGGGATCCGCTGGAGGGGTTTGGCACGTGTCCTAGCGCCAACATCGCAGTGCGGATCTCGTTCGGAAAACGATCGGATGGGCCCGGAGTGTCCTGGAGAATTTCGTTCCGCATTTCGAGGTGAGTTTCATGCGAATTTTATGTGGCGCCAGGAATGAAGACCGAAAACAGTCCACGCGAAATTCACTTCGTTTTTCGCTCTCCTCTTCGGGCAAAGATCTGCTGCAATCATCCACGCAGAAACCCGCTGAAGCATGTCTGCAAGGCTGGTGCAATGACACGTGCTGTCGGAACGGGTGGAGGGGGGTTGGATGAAGAGGAGGAGGATGAGGAGAGGAGGATGGAGGTGGGCGGGATTGGGCAAGCTCCGTCGGAAGGTTATCCCCCCCCCTCGATAAAACAAACACTCATCCAGAGTAGGGAATTGGTCCCGACCTCCTGGGCCCACGCATCGAGAAAATGGGGGCGGCCGGACGTCTGGGTCTACCCCCCCCCGTCCCACCACCTTCCCTTTCTCCCTTTCCTTCCCCCCCCCCCTCTCCCCATTTTGCCTCCCCCCCCCATCTCCCTCCCTTCCCGTGCTCGTCCGACTCCTCTCTCTCCTTTCCTCCCCTATCTTCCTCCCTTCCTGTGCTCCTCCGTCTCCCTCCCTCCCCCCTCTCCCCCTTCTGCCTCTCCCCTCCCCCCCTTTCTCTCCCTTCCTCCCCATCTTCATCCCTTTCCGTGCTCCTCCCTTTTCGTCCTTCCCCCGCCCGCAGGTACACAATATGAATACTACTCCTCTCTCCCCTGATGACGTCTGGAAGATGTCTGGCACTCCTCCGCGTATGGTTTTCATATAGGATTGCCGGGACATGGGTTTTCGCTGTTTTTTTCTGCTCCAGACTGTTGCTCCCGCTGAAGCATTAGCCCCATTTCGGCGCCTCTGGTTGTTCCAAAATGTGTTCCCGCTGCAGCGCGGGTGTTTCAGGTCCTTCCAAACAAGCCCCAGAATCTTCAAAGCTTCCCGCAAAAAAAACTCGGAAGTGATTCCACATTCGGTGTCGATACATTCGCTTCTTGGACCGCAGAAGCCCACCTCCCCCACTTTGGGGCGTCGCCGTTTTCAGGAAGTGTCAGGCGGGAGCCCCGTTTCTGCTTTGAGAAGGCGATTTTGAAAGCAGAGCCAGCGGGTGCTCTCCATCAGCCCAGCCTTGTGTGGAGCTTTTCGGAGAGCCCAAGGAGCTAGACATGGAGCCACGACCCCAGACCGGCCCAGACCTCTCGTAGACGATCTTCTTACCCACCAAGGAACTGAGCGCCATACCATGACATGCTGTGCGGTGCTGTGTTCTGCGGTGCTGTGCGATGCCATGCTATGCGTTGCCATGCTTTGCGATGCAGTGCTTCAGTGCGCAATGCCACGCCATGCTGTGGCATGCTACGCTCTGCCGTGCCCTTCTGCGCGATGCCATGCCGTGCTCTACCGTGCATCGCGTACCCTCTCGCGATTGTTGCCCTGATCGGCATCCGACTGCGAACAGGGAGGGTATCTACGCCATGGCAAGGGACGGGAGGGAGGGGTAGGACGTCAGATATGACGCGAGCGCACCTAGCTTGCCCGTCCCCCTTCCCACCTCCCTCCCTTCCCGTGCTCCTCTCTCGTCGTCCCTCCCCCCCCCCCTCCCAGTGGCGCTTTGAGTCTGCCCCGAATCTGGGCCATGACCCCCCATCCATCCCCCCCTCCTGACGCCGTCAGGATGTTGAGGTCAAGCGTCGGCGTTGCAACCTCCCCGAGGACGGTTCCATCCTCATCGCGCTCCGCTCCGCGGAGCATCCTGACTTCCCGGAGGAGCTTCCCGCGAGCAGCGTTTGGTGCTACACTTCTTTCTGCCGGCTCTATTTCTACGTTTTTTTTGTTTCCTCCGCGTCCCCCTCTCTATTCCGCCACTCCCTCATCGTCTCTACCTAATCCGTAGCCGTTTTGGCTCAAGCTACGGCTGGCCCCCCCTCCTGGGCGCGGGCGGTGCGGGGGTCGCGATGGTGCGGGCGCGCACGAATGGCCCGCTGGTGCGTCATGGGCTGTGCGTCGCCCACTGGTTCGGTGGCCGAAGCCGTGGAGCTGAATGGTGCTGCTGGCGGACGGCGGCGGCGAGAAGGATTGCGCCTTCGAAACCTGCGAGCAGGTCTTGCACGGCGCAGGGCGTTCCATCGCCCTGGGCCGCAAGGCCATTTCTGAGGAGGTGCGGCGCGCTCTGGCCCAGGAGCAGCCCGCCTTGGCGAAGCGATGGTCGGCGCTTCGAGCGGGCCGGCGCTGGGCAGCCCACCCGGACTCCTGCCTGCTCTCCGAGGTTGCCGCGGTGCTGGGCACGACTGCGAGGCCCTGGTCGAGGGCGCGCACGGCAACAACGACGAGGAGCGATTCGTCCTGTACCTGGTCGTCTTCTGAGGTGCCCAAGGAGTGCGTTGCGACGGATTCCGAGGACGAGAAGGAGGCGAGGAAGTCCCTGGAGGCTCAGAAAAAGGAGTTGGAGGAACAGGTCACCCAGAAACGGGTGGTGCAGCAGGATGGGGTGTCAGTGGAGCATTGTTTCGTTGTCGGCCGGACCTGCACGGACTCCGATGTGCCGACGGAGATGGGACCGACCTCTGAGGTCTGATATGGGACCGACCTCTACGGGCTGGAGACCGAAGCTGACCTTGAGAAACCCCACTTCGGCAAGGCTGGCAAGGGGTATGCGCTTACGGACGTGGAGGTTGCCGATGAGGAGGACAGGGAGTTGAGGACCTCGGATGACAAGGAGGAGTCCCTCAAGGCCCAGGTCGTCAGCAAGGCTGCTGTGCTGACGCAGGCGGCCACCGACCTCGAGACTGCCAAGACCGCCTTGGTGCAGGCGGAGGCCACCTTCGACGAGGCAGCCGAGGACGTGTCCAATGTTCTTTCCCGTCTGGAGGAAGAGGCGCGGTCGACTCTTGCGCTGAAGTTCGGCTGCCTTCCCGTGAAGACAGAAACGGCGTGAGTGCCGCGGAGGCGGCACTCCCGCTGCATGACGCGGAGGCTCGTGTTCCTCATGCGTCTTGCGCCCGCGGAGGCTCGTGATCCTCCTGCGCGGCGCCCGAGCGGCCGCGGAGGCTCGTGTTCCTCCGCGGCTGAGGTTTTGGCGTGGCGGGCGAAGGCTCGTGTTCCTCCGCCGCCAGGTTTTCGCGCTCGCGGTCGTGTTCGTCCTGCGCTGCGCCTGTGCGGCCGCAGAGGCTCGTGTTCCTCCGCGGCTGAGTGATCGGGTGGTTGGGACTGATCTGATATTGCCACGCGAGTGGCTTCGCAGCGCGATCCAGCATGATCGTCTCTACCTAATCCTGCTCCCGATCTTGATTGTATTGTTTGTGATTCCCCTTCCTCCTCCGTCAAGCTATACATCCTCCTGCTTCTCCTTCTCATCGGCCTCTCTCCCAGCTGCAAGTACCCCATTGATCATCATGCCTTCGCCCGTGTCATTCCGTAGGCGGTGTCGTCAGTACGCACCCTTTTCGAATAGTTGTTGGTGTGTGTATACATTTTTAGATATACATAATTTAATCGCTTCGCTCATTCCGCCGGCCCGTATTGCGCACCGCGGTCGACTGGATGAGAGGTCGTCGGCAGTGCGGAGCTGCAGGGAGCGGGGGCTGTTTTTTTTGTTGAGTCGTTGCGTTCGGCCTTTTGTGGTGAAAATGCCCCGGTGGAACAGGTTCGTGTCGATTCGTGGCGACCGTCTGTGGGGGTGGCGGGGGAATCGTTGGTTCCTCGGGGTTCTAGGTTTTGCTGCCCTGGGGTGTGCCTGGCGCGTTTGTGGGGGCTCGTTGCCCGTGGATGCCCCTGCGGGGGCCTTGAAGAAAGCGTGGCTATTGCGACAGTTGTGTTTCTCGACGTGGGAGGGAAAAAGAGTGTGTGTGTGTGTGTGTGTGTTTTGAAGGAAGGGGGGGAAAGGGGGCGGTCGCAGTGTAGAGGGGCGACAGTGCAATGGCGAGAAAAGGAGAGGGAAAGGGAAGCAGGAGGGGGAGGAGAAGAAAACGGAGGAGGTGGGGGAGGGAGTGTATAGCTGCAGTGGGGAAGGGGGAGGAGGCAAATGTACGAGGGGGTGAAAAGGAGAGAATCCAGTGACGCGCTCTCCCGAACACCGGCTCAGAATCGAGCCCCGGGCTTCCAACGTGGTCCGTCCGGCTCGGCTCTTTCGCCCCGGATCGATGTCTGAGGGCCCCAGGGCCCGACATTCGGGTGAACGTAAAGGGGGGTGGCCCAGACGGGGGGTGAACTCGGACGGCCTCGGAGGCGGCGCAGAGGAGGTCTGAAATGAAATGTGATTCAATCGTTTCGCTCACTCCGCTTGTCCATATTGCATGATCGCGCCGTGGTGGGCTAGCCGAGTTTTGGGGCCTGTTGAGGGCCGTTTTGGGGCCTCTTGGGGCCTCTTTTGGGCCTCTTGGGCGCCTCTTGGGGCGTCTTGGGGGCCTCTTGGGGGTCTCTTGGGGCCTCTTTGGGACCTCCTGGGCGGCTTCTGGGGCGGAGGGCTCGATTTTTCAGTTCTCTGTATCCCTCTTGAGCCCCTCTTGGGCCCGTCTTGGGGCCTCTTGGTCCGTCTTGGGCGGCACTTGGGCCGTCTTGGGGGCCCTCTTGGGCCGTTTCGGGGCCGTCTTGGGAGCTTCGTGGGCCGTCTTGGAGCGATCTTGGGCGCCTCTTGGGTCGTCTTGGAGCGTCCGGAAGCCGAAAAAGCCAGAACGCAAAAAACATAGGAAAAACCAATGAAAATCAACGATTTTGGCCTCTTGGGGCCCTCTTCGGAGGCCTCTTGGAAGGCTCTTGGGGCGTCTTGAAGGCCTCTTCGGCTGTCTTGGGGGTCTCTTGGGCCGTCTTGGGGTCATCTTCGGCGCCTTGGAGCGCTCTTTGAACGTCTCGGGGGCCTCTTGAGCAATCTTGGGGGCCTCTTGGGGCACTCTTGGCGCGCTCAGGGCGGCCTGAGAGGCCGCACCCAGAAGGAAAACCATCTCTGAGTTGAACCGGGCGGGACCTTCCCAGGCGGCGGGCGGGGTACTTTTCGCCGGGGGACCCCCAGGGGCCGCCCCGCGCGCGCGAACTAGTACAATACAATTGTTAACCAGTTACCGGAGATCTTAGCACGCCTCTGGCCCGTTGGGCCGGCGAATTATTGTTTGTTGGTGCGATCCCTATTATTGTTGCTGACCATAAAGAAGATAGCATGCAGGAGGAGGAGGAGGAGGAGGAGGAAAAGGAGGAGCAGGGTAAGGTGACCGATGAGTCAGACGGGTTGTGCCTGCCGTGCCTTGCTCTGCCCTGCTTTGCCCAGTTCTGCGACGAGGCAAACCAGCACACGAGCACGCCGCGCCACCCAGAGACGAGGGAATAACAAACACCCTGCGTTTATTAGACGGCCTCAAGCGATTACTTAACAGCCCTGCCTTGTCTTTGGGGCCTCGCTTGTCGGGGTGGTTATTGTAAGGGCGGATGTTACTGCTCTTTTTCGGAGCCTGGTGATGCTGCCTACAATCGGGCCGCGCACGCAGGCACGCACGCCGGTCGGCGCGCGCGGCACCAGGCGCACCCCGGGCACGCATGCAAGCGCGCGAGCACGCGCACCGCAGGTGCGCGCAGCCAGCGGGTCAGCCACCGCGAGTCAGCGACGCAGCAGTTTTGAGTCCCCACCCCCACCTTCTTTTCCACCTCCCCCTCCTCCTCCTCCTCCTCCTGCTCCTGCTCCTGCTCCTCCTCCTTATCCCCCTCCTCCTCCCTCTCCTCCTCCCTTTCCACCTCCCTTTTCCTCCTCCTCCTCTTCCTCCTTTTCTTCCTCCTCCTCCTCCCCCTCCCTCCTCCTCTTCCTGATGTTTCCTCCCCCTCCTTTTCCTCCTCCTCCTCCTCTTCCGCCTCCTCGTCTCCTCCATCTCCTCCCCCCTCCTCCCTCCTCCTCTCCCGTCCTCTCCCGCCTCCTCTTCCCCCGCCTCCTCGTCATCCTCCTCCTCCTTCCTCCTCCCCCTCCTCCTCCTCCTCCCTCCTCCTCCTCCTCCTCCTCCCCCTCCTCCTCCTCCTCCCTCCTCCTCCTCCTCCTCCTCCTCCTCTCCTCCTCCTCCTCCTCCTCCTCCCCCTCCTCCTCCTCCTCCTCCCAGGTGGCTCCCCAGCGAGGCCCCGCGCAACCGTGTTGTCCGCGGCGGGCGCGGCTCGCGGATAGGCCCGTGCAAGGGGGCGGCGCGGAGGGCGTCGCGAGCGGACTCGAGTGTGGCCTGCGCCCAGCGCCGCGCCGCCCGAACGGCCCGAGGTCACGAGCGAGCCCGCAAGCGACACGCCGAGCTCGGCGGCAGAGGTTCCGTCGGCGCGCGCTGCGCGGCGGCGGGAACGTTTGCGGCATACGGCGGCGCAGCGGGTTCAGCAAAAGGCCGCGGAGGTCATGCACATGCTAGGCCCGCCCGCGCCTCTGCCAGTTGCGCTCCCAACCCTGGCCGACGCCTTCGGGGAGGGACTGGCGGCGGGCTGGAAGCTGGCAGTGGTCGGGCTGACGGAAGTACCACGGTGGGGCGAGCAGTGCACGCAGGCATATTTGGAAGAGCCAGATATGACCAGCGTTTGCGTCGCGACCAGCCCTTGCGAGAAATGGGAGGCGCATATAGAGCCCAACATGACCAGCTACAACGTTGCGACCTGGGCGATCGTCAACCCTTGCCACAGCGAGTACGCGACGTGGGAGGCGAAGGTAGCGCCCGACGCGATCTGCTACAGCGCTGGGACCATATATAGAGTGCGAAAAAGAGAAAGCAAAGCTGGAACCCACCATCTCAAACCTCAGCACGGTGGACAGCACGTGCGTGTAGTGGAAGGCGAAGATTGAGCTCGACGCGATCAGCTGCAGCGCTGCGGCCAGAGAGTTCGAGAAGAGAAAGGGAAAGCCAGAGCACGTTACCTATCTTAGCCAGTGCCTTGATCAAAGCGCGTGTGAGATATCGAAGGCGAAGACGGAGCCCGACGCGATCTGCTACAGCGCTGGGACCATATATAGAGTGCGAAAAAGGGAAAGCAAAGCTGGAACCCACCATCTCAAACCTCAGCACGGTGGACAGCACGTGCGTGTAGTGGAAGGCGAAGATTGAGCTCGACGCGATCAGCTGCAGCGCTGCGACCAGAGAGTTCGAGAAGAGAAAGGAAAAGCCAGAGCACGTTACCTATCTTAGCCAGTGCCTTGATCAAAGCGCGTGTGAGATATCGAAGGCGAAGACGGAGCCCGACGCGACCATCTACAGCGCTTCGAACCAGACGTGCGAGAAGAGAACGGCAAAGCTAGAGCCCACTATCCCGAACCACGATTCTAGGACCTGCGCGGGCGATCAGTGGAAGGCGAGGAGTGAGCCCGACGCGATCACCTACATTGCGGGGACCAGTACGTGCGAGAAGGGGACGGCTATTCTGCAGCCCTTTTGCTACCCCAGCCAGAGCCAGAAGGGCAAGACGGAACCACACGTGACCAACTGCAGTGCTGTGATCAGGACAGAAGTGGTGGAGGCCAAGCTGGAACCCAATGCCACTAGCGTTTCCACCTCCGGTCCCCTCGTCGCCACGGCTGGACCTGCGAAATTGGACCGTGGTTCGGTTACGGAGGCGAAGGAACCCAACGTGACCAGT